TCAGTCAAATCCATGAAAACACAACCCAATTTAAAACTGGGCAAATTACTGAAGGCTGAATCTTACCCCTAGGAGTCAAAGCACTTTATAAAAGTTCTCACTCACTTATCAACACAACTGTGTAAGCCAGGTACTATTTTCATCCCATTTTCTCAGAGAAGACTGAGGCAGAGGGTGGGTAAATGAGTCCCCAAGCCCAAACAGCTAAGGACAGAACCAGGCAGTGCAGGGTGTGGAGGTGAAGAGCCTGTTCCTCTCACCTGTGGCTACTATGAAGAAACAGAGGGCAAGTGAGAAGGTGACCCAGGCCTAGGTGAAGGAAGAAGGAAGGGAGAAGATCAAGGCTGTTTAGATACTAGCCCTGATCACCTTCCCTCAAAGCTCTGCACCCAAGCTTCATCCTCGGTTCTGCCTCTTCTCCTGTCCCTGACTGTTCTGTTCCCCACTGTTTGAGTCTTGCCTCAAGTCAACCTTTTTGTTTGTTTTTTCATTTCTGGTCTTTTTTATGATTGTGTTAGGATGTTAACTTCAATTTGCAGTGTTTATTACAATCTTCCTCAGTTTTATTTATTTCATTCTTGAGTGGAGTGCATGAATTTTATAACAAAACATATTTTTTTACATTCACTGAATTTTTAACAAGGTTTCATGTAGGTGTGTTGCTTTTTTCCGACTCTCATTTAGTCTTGTGGACAAGGTTTCTAGCTCGAGAGCTCCCTCTTCTGTCCATTCTGCCCAGTTTTGTGCAGATTCCTAAACAGGTGGTATTGATGAGGGCTGAAGGATGTGGCAAAGGGTTGGAATGCCTTTATTCTCTTCCCTTTCTTCAGAATTCTTAAGTTCTTTAATTATTTGCTTTCATAGTTGCATTTCTAAGAGGTACCATCTCTCTTTATTAACTGCTTCTCCAACAAAAACTATTTTTTGGCAAGTTTCCCACATCTGATCTTACATTTTCAATGTTTTTCCAGTGTTGTGAACTACCAAGTCCTAAACTGTGTTCAGCATTCTGGCATTTATTGTTGCAGTTTTAGATTTATGTCTCTGAGTCAGTTGATACCCTTTTTTCTTTTCTTTTTCACAGATATTTTAAGGACTAATCTCCTACCCTGCAGCAGAAGTATTCAATGGTAGGCTGCAGCAAGAGTTCTGTTGAATTTTTTTTCCTCTATGTACAGGTAATTTGAGGGTTATGGTAATCATTGTCTCCTGGAGATGCTAAAAGGGCAGAATATTTTTTTGTATATATGTATATATACAATAGAATGTTACTCGGTTTTAAAAAATATCCTAAAATACATAACAACATGGATGAACCTCAAGTTCATTATGCTAAATGAAATTAGTAAGTCACACAAGGATAAACACAGCATGATTACACTGATACAAGGTATGTAAAGTTGTCAAGCTTATGGAATTATAGCATGGAATGATGATCGCTAGGGTTAAGGAGAGGGGAAAAATAGGGAGTAGCTAGATAAAAGGCATAAAGTCTCAATTATTCAAGCTGAACAAATTTTAGAGATTTATCATAATACATTGCACCTAATGTTTTTTTGGTTTTTCTTCTTCTCTTGAGACAGAGAAAAATGTAAACCTGAATACTGAAAACTATAAAATATTGCTGAAAGTTATTTAAGTATATTGAGGTA